GGAAGAGCACAGAGAAAGTGAAACGCTTTCTCCCCACATTGACTTTTTCTTTCCCACCTCTCTGTTTATCCTTCTTATTACATCTTTTCTTTCCCCTTTTTCCATCTGTTATAAACCAGCTCTTGTTCCTCGGTAATGATGGAGATCTCTTCACACTGGCTGGCAGCTGCAGTTCCTGGAGTTTTACGTTATAAATGAAACTGGGACTTCCTCATTCGAGCTTCCTAAAACTGACAGCAGTAATATCCAGCCTGTGATGATAAAATTTCCCATTGTAGAAATACGGAGAAGTCGAAGAATAGTTCAAGCTTAATTCAGTTTTATTTATAAAGCGAAATCACAACAGTCACCTCAAAGAGTAACCCTACAGTAATACAGAGAAAACCCAACAATCATATGACCCCCTATGAGCAGCACTTTGGTGACAGCGGGAAGGAAAAACTCCCTTTTAACAGGAAGAAACCTCCAGCAGAACCAGGCTCAGGGAGGGGCGGGGCCATCTGCTGTGATTGGTTGGGGTGAGAGAAGGAAGACAGGATAAAGACATGCTGTGGAAGAGAGACAGAGGTTAATAACAGATATGATTCAATGCAGAGAGGTCTGTTAACACATGTTCAAGTGCATAGTGTGGAGGATGTCGTAAGGCCTCGAGGCAGTTGGGTCTCAAACACAATATTTATGAGCTTTTGAATTTGTAAATCGGTCGGATTTGACCCGAACAGGCAGGAAGGTTGCAGCACCTGCTCTTAGGTGAAGGCTCTGCCTCCCACTTTTATACTTTAAATACTCTCCAAGTACAAAAACAGAGTTTAATGTGACGATTGTCTGAGAACTGTCGTGCAGTATAAAGTGCAGTAACTCGGTGAATGTTTCTTTGACTTTCAGTAACTGGTCTCCATGTTTCGAAGCAAAGCCCAGCGCAGACTTCCTTCTCTCATCATGCTTCTCATTCGCCCCTCAGATCCCTCACGTGAAGATCGGCCCCGAGGAAACGCCCAAGCTGCCGTACCTCCGCTTTGCCTCGGTGACCCTCTACCCGAGTAACGAGGACCTGAGCCTGGCCATCGGCTCCATCCTGCGCTCCTTCGGCTACCCGACAGCCAGCCTGATCTGTGGCAAAGCAGAGTGTGAGTGTCGTGGTTATTCCCACTGCAGCTCCGTCCACACTTAGGGCGGAAATGATGGATTTTAGAGCTCCAGTGTCTCGGGTTCGAACATTATGAGACGCTGGCACGTGATGCACATTCACAGATCATCTCACCTTAAACCACGAACGCTCCCCGATCCCTGTCCGGTTGCGTGTTGGCACCCGTTCCCTTGGGTTGAGGTTCTGTTTGGACGATCAGTCCTTGCTCTTCTCTTTGAGCAACACGTTTCACGAGTCCGTCCTCGTCCCCCTGCAAACCCAGCTCACATTTCCTGGAGTCAGTTTTCACCATTTTCCACCAGCGTCGAGCCCTCGGTGCCGATGGCTTTGATTTCTTTTCTGTTGTTTCTTCTTCTTCTGAGTTTTCTCTACTCCTCTCTTTCCTTTCCTTTCCTAATTCCTCTTCTCTCACACACTTCCCTCCATTCTTCCTTTCCTCTCCTGAGGACTCTAGTCTCCTCTCTTCCTTTCCCTTGTTCTTTTTCCCCTCCGTCCTCCCCACATCAGTCTCCCTCAGCTTGGATCCAGCTGACTGATCTGCCCCAGCTCTCCGCTCTAACATCTCCCGGTCTTTCGTCGTAGCCTCGGCCCGTTAACGGCCTGTATTGTGGTCCTGAGCGCTGCTGTCAGCCAGTTAAACGCTTTATGGCAGCGATTAGTCGAGACACGCCCGCTGCTTCTGTCAGGGACAGACGAGGTAATGAGCCGGAGGCCGACGCCTCTGAATGTCGAAGCCCAGGTGATGCAAACACAGCAGGCTTCTCGCCGGTTTGTAACGCGACTGCTTCTGCTGAGGTCGGTCTGTTTTCTCCCGTCCTGTGATTATTGACGCTGCTCGCATCCAGCATGTTTTTCACGACGTGAACGCGTCTCATGTTTGGCCCTGCTGTGGGATACCGCCTCAGTGGCAGCGATGCACAAACGCCAGCACTGAGTGTAATGGAGAGAAGTGACCACAGAAACGACTGATCAGAAGCGGTAATAAGTAAATCCTGCCTCAGCCGTGAGCACTCGTGGGTCCATGTTATTCTCAGAGGAGAAAATTAATGGACTTTCAACATAATCGCCTTTATCCCGCTCTGTTTATCGCTTCCTTTTAGGCCTGGAAGTCTGTAGAGCAGCGGCAGTTATTTGTCTCTCTAATGACTCCAAGTCTCATCAATTTTCTTTTTACAAGTCAGAGCAATAATTTTACAAGCAAACAAGCTAAACACTCAGGCGAGCATCGTTTATAGACCCCGCCTCTTTTTCAGGCACTTAGAAGCACTTTGGATGAAGAGTTTTGCCGCTGCATGACGTAACTTTCACAGCCAAGTGTTTCTGACTGGGAACCGCAGTCCGCCATCGCTCAGACACGTGTGTGACTCATGCTCGTTTCCTGCCCCGTAGGTCTGCTGCGATTGGAGGAGCTGGTCCGCCGCTTCCTCATCTCCAGGGAGACGCTGTCGGTGCGGATGCTGGACGACAGTCTGGACCCCACCCCCCTGCTGAAGGAGATACGTGATGACAAAGTGGCCACCATCATCATTGACGCCAACGCCTCCATCTCGTATCACATCCTCAGGAAGGTCAGCTGTTTGCATCAGCGCGCTCGCGCAGCTTCTTACGTCTGATGCTTTTCTACTTTCAGTCAAAAGGAGTCGACGACTCTGTTCGTCCGTACGGTTCATCGTAGCTGCAGCAGAAGGTTTGAAATGGCACATTTGATCCATGTAAGAGGAAACTGCAATGAATAATCTCAGCCGGCTTTAGAGAAGCTAAAAAACCATGTTTCCAAAATCGGCTCGTGTGAAGTCAGCAATAAATTCACGGACTTGGCAGCGATGCGCTCGGCGGTGTCATGAGCCAAAGCTTAATGGGAGCTGCAGTGCAAAATCACCACTGAGTACAGAAGTGCAGGTTAAATAAGAAGAATAAGGAACAACAGAGTTTTTAGGGTTTAATTGATGCTCAGGAGCACAGCGTGAGAGAAGAGGAACGGAGCTGAGATTTAATCCTAAAATACAGGAAATATGAAAACCCTCTGCTAGCACGACAACACTAATCATTTTAAAACCGCGATCACAGCATGACACGCCCACTTTGTGCATACAGAGCAGATCAGGACACGTCAGGTGGAAAAAGTTCTGCAGGTCAGACACGATGCGTGTCCGTCACACTGAGATCTGTCTGCCACGCGGCGCCGTATCTGCACACGCCTCTCTGACTTCAGCTAGCTTTAGCGGGGCGTGGTCCCACCGACTGCAGCTAATGTCCCAAACATGTGCAGACCAGTGTTGCCAGCTTAGCGACTTTGCCGCTATATTTAGCGAGTTTTCAGACCCCTTAGCGACTTTTTTTCTAAAAAGTGACTAGCGACAAATCTGGCGACTTTTTCTGGTGTTATTGGAGACTTATTTATGACGTCTTTTTGACGTGAAAGGGCGTGTTGCTCTTACTTTCAACAAGCTGCAGTGCTGCCGTGGGCACCTCACCCGTGCTAAAGCGCTCAACGGCGGAGGATAGTCCTCCGCCAGCTGCTATCAGGGCAGGAGACTGCATTTAGGATGTTTTTTGCTCACTTTATGTTTCTTCCACGATGTTATGTCTCTCTCCAACAGTGTAGGTTACAATTACATTAGCATGACCAATTATGCAAATTAGGTGATGACGTCATTTAGCGACTTCTAGCGACTTTTAGGACAGCCAATAGCGATTTTCCTTACTGAGGAGTTGGCAACACTGGTGCAGACGTGTCCGATGCAAATGCAGAGTGCACACCTGTATCATGTGGCACAATAAAACATGTGTCAGTGTTTGAACGTGTTGTTAAATGTCTGCCTGTGTGCAGCCCCGGTTCCTGTTCTGGAAGCGTCTTCTTCCTCTCTGCTGTTTACAGGGTGGAACAGGACCTTCAGACACGCTGGGCTGGTTTTGTGCCAAACTGGCTGTGAGCGTCGACAGACTTTTAAGCCACGGGCTAAATCGACCTGCGTTTGGCAGGTTGCAGTTTCCCTCTCATAGCAGTAACCTTGGGGGGTGCAGGAAGTTTAAAATTCAAAATTACTGAGTAAACTCAGTCAGGACTTTTCAAGTTGGGCTGCTGCTTCAGGCTGAAGGAGATGTAAGCTGACAGTGTGCAGAAGGTTAATGGATTAATAAGTGAAGCGGCGTGCAGGCTCTGCGGTGTGAGGATGCCAGGTTAAATCCTCCGCTGCCTGTCGGAGCCGACGTCCCGTACGTGTGGAAGGTGAGCTGTGACTGAGTTTGAGTCTCTGCTCGGGTCGAGCAGAAAACATTCAAACATAGAAAAGTACTCCAAGGGTCTGCTGCTACCAGGTTTTCACCGTGAACTTCACAAAGATATGTATGTTGGCTGTCCACACTGACTCCTGCTGTGGGGAATCTGCTGTTCTCCCGTGTGTCGCATCATAACGTTGAAAGATATTCCAGTTTTCTGCTTGCTCTTGTGTTTTTAGCTAAATTCAGCCCAGTTTAAATGTCTTTTCACCTGAGAGCACGCTGCCGTTGTTATCATCTCCCTGAAACGTCTTTCATCACTGACGCGTCCTGGAGATGGTAACCACGGTTTCCAGGCTGTTATTAAGTTTGAGCGATGGTTCCTTTTTAAATAAACTCTGGCTCGTTTCCACGGAGGATGCTTAGCGTTTCTTCTGCTCTTCTGCAGGCTAACGAGTTGGGGATGACGTCCGCCTTCTACAAGTACATCCTCACCACCATGGTAAGAGCTCCACACCTCGCCTTCACCTTCATCGCTCGCCACTTAGTTGGATTCTCCTCATCTTCCTTCAATTCCTTCCATGAAGAAGATGCTTCTTAGTGGTTTTCATAATCGTCTGATTCTTCATCTTCATCACTTAGTGACCCATTTTTAACCTCCTCCTCCTCCACAGCTTTCTTGTCCACAGGCTTTGATACTATTGATAACGGCTGATAAAGGAATCGCTCAGCGTTTGACATTATTTTGCTCTGTACGTGACACACCAGCCACATTTATGCTGGTGACTCAATACTGTTCCTTTCCTTTCCTTTCCTTTCCTTTCCTGTTTTTCTTGTTTCCTTTCCTAAAGATGATCCGTTGCCTGATCTTTTTCCTACTTTCTTCTCCTCAGTTTCATTTCCTTTTCTGTCCTCTATCTCTTCCATCTGTTCTCCTTCCATCCTTGTTTGTGTCGCCTGCAGTGATGGGAATAACGTTACTAACGGCGTTACTTTTTTCAGTAACGAGTAATCTAACTAATTACTATTCCTATCGTTACAACGCCGTTACCGTTACCAACAAGAAAATGCTGTCGCGTTGCTATTTTTCAACAAACAGACGGGTGAAGCTGTGTTCTGCTTACAGCATCTTATATCAGCACGGAAGCAGCTGTAAGTAATCTGGACGCTGCAGCTTTAAGCAGCTGTGCTCCCGCGGACGGCAGTCACTGTCCGGCACAACAGCTGGAGCTCAGGGGGCAAAACAATCACACGAGTGCTGCTGTTTGACTGAGGAAGAATAAAGGAGTCGTGGTCAATCACATGACCACTTAAAGACAAAGCAACAAGGTGACATGTACCAGTTTATAAACTGCGTTGATCAGCCAGTAAAACCAGAGTCATGATAAACAAGACATACGCCTGTTTTTCCTCAATGTTTCGTCACGTTTCCTCTCTAAGGACAGCAGCGAGACCGCTCTGCTTATGAGCAAACAAAAACAGCCCGTTCATGTTGGTGGAAAAATGCACCATGTGGACCAATGAAAAATGATATGGTGACGTGACGTTTGGTTGTTTAGGAAGAGAGAGCGAGTTTTGAGATGTGAGAGTTTTGTGACGTTTAGCGTGTTTAGAGTGTGTAATTAGTGTGTTGTCTTGTGTAGTTAGTGTGTAGTTAGTGTGTTATGGATAGTTTTGTGTTGTGTGTCAGAACAATGAGGCGGCTGCTGTCTCCAGGTAGAAACAGCAGTGACACACCTGCTGCTGTCAGAGCTGCAGGTATCAGGTATCCCTGTGAGCATGAAGCCTTTCCAGAGGTGCTGTCGTCAGCCAGAGGAGGCCGTCGGTTCAAATCCTGAGCCAATCCGGCCGCACTTGCAGACAGTAACTGAAATAGTAACTCCTGCATGTGGCGAGCTCTCACGGGCGCAGTGAGGTCAGCAGACACTACGTTCAAACGTCTGCTCGTGAGCCCATTATTGCTGCTTGTGGCCATATTTTCTCATTACTTCAGTCTCCTCCTCTGTTATAGTCTCTATTTTGCCTCCCTCCTTCTTTCTTGGCTTGTTTATTCATTTTGTTTCTCCTTCTTCTGCCAACACTTTCTTCTTTCTCGCCTTTCGCTGCTCGTCTTCTCGCCTGAATCTGTGGCGGTTCGTTCCGACTGCTTCCTGCTTCCTCTCTGGCCCTTTGCTTCTCTCCTCTTCTTTCACTCTTTTCTCGTTCTTACTCGTCTCTTTTTTCCATGCTCTCTGTGCCGCTGCGTTCCTTCGGGATGTTTGTAGGTCACGTGCTGAAACTAAACTCTGTCACCTCCCCCGTGTCACGCATGTCCTCCCCCTCCGCTCTCCTCGTCTCTCGGTGCTCATCGCGGATGCACGCTTGTCCCGCCGCCGTTTGTCATCATTAGAATTTTGCTGTTCGGTATCGTGCCCTTGTACGAGAGACTTTGTGTGGATAATAACTCGTCTCGATCTCCGCCTCGACTCTAAATACTGTCGTGTCACATTCTTTAACGGCGCCGTTTGCGCGGGGGCTTGACGCCGCGTTCGCAGACCAAGGACGAAAACACGCCCCCCAGTAGAACCCTGGAAGGGAACCAAAATGAAAATGATTTCTCAACACTTCCACACACACCTGCCGTCTCTCACCTACCTTTAACTTTGCCATAAACACGCTCGGCTGACTGTGACAGGCTGACTTCAGGGCGCTGAGTTCATCGCCGTTTCACCACGAGGAAGGACTCAATGGTCTCTACATTTATCATTTGTATGAAACAAGCTGTTTTCTGATTGGCTGTTCCCCACAAACAGAAGGTTTGAACAGCATGCTAGACATGAAACCTCCTGGTTGCAGGGTTTAGTCGGGAGTGCTCGGAGAGAAAGCTTTGCCCTATCACGTCCAGGATCATCTGGACCGCTTCCAGTGAGGCTGCTGTGCTCTGCTTTGCACTGGACACATGGAACTGGGTTTGGTTAGGCTGCTGGAGACTTGCTCAGTTTAGCCAGGTGGGCTGATCGCCTGCTGGCAGTGCACGAACACAGGGACGGTGCATTTCTATCATCTCAGATGTACGTGTGGAAATATGTTTGAGGCTTTGTGCTGCTGAAAACGTGGCTCCATGTGAGTGTGTGAGAGAGTCAAACAGCATCGGA